TTCTTATTAATATGAACTAATGACATCTTTTTTGAATTTTTTTTCTTCTCATCTGACATAACTACTATAATAGAGGATTTAGGATTGGTTGGCCTTGTTTTAGCAGATTCTTTATGTTTCTTCCTCTAGCACTAAGCTATAAACCTTGTCTAAGGTACGTATAAGATCTAACAATATGATTTGTGACCTTACAGCAGAGTAAGAATCATTTAGACCATTTAAGAACTTAAAGACCATATCTTTCTTGTACTGGTTTGAGTAGTTTTTGAAACAATTGGTATTACACTTGCTACACTCACATTGTGGTAGAGGCCTATAGTTCCTCAACTTTTCCCAAATCCCTTTCAACTCCATGAAAAAAGTGTTTACAGATTTTGTTCTTTGTGTAACATTCCCTAAAGTAAATTGTAGATTACAAACTCTAGTATCATCAGGCTATGAGAAGTTCTATCTCAAAGTGTTTCATATTTCAGTAGTTGAATCCATATATAATATGGTTGAAGCTATTAGTGGAGTAACGAACTCCAAAATCCAAGCTACAATTAAATAGTTACATCTAGTCCATGAATCAAACAATAGATCTGTAATAATAAGTATACTTATGATGCCGTTAAGGAAACCTAGCTTGTTCTTAATCAAAATGGCCAAGAAAAAAGACCTACTCCATGGAACATAGTTATTTGTACTAAGCTTAAGAGTAATTATCACTAATCCAAGATGATCAGAATGGTGCAAAAAATAAGGTGATTGTGCATCTTGAGCTGGTGAGATTATAGTTTTAGAAATTGTAGTTTTTTCAATCGAAACTAGAAACCTTAAACTCCAACCAAGAAACTCAACAAATATTACACCAAATTGAAACTAAAATCAACTGTAAACTAGAAGTAGATGATGAAAGATTCAAAATCCCTAACCTGAATTACTCTGATACCATGATAAAATCGACATAGAAAAATTGAGAGAGAGGATCGTGAAATGAACCAGTAAAGAATGAAATAAACTTTCTTGTATTGAAACTGTTAGTACAAGTGTACTTATATACAAACAACAACCAACTAGAATAAGCTACAACTCACAAATGAAACTAACAATTAATATTTTATTAATCAATAAGAGTAACTAGTAAATTGTAATTCTATATTTACTCATCCTATATAAATATTACATGTATTCTTTTAACCTCTTACTCTTAACACAAGATATCCTGATGCTCTGTTCATACCGGATCTTTCTTCAATGTATAGGTACTTAAGGGCTTGACTATTCTTTAAATATTATCTTTAATGCTCAATAGTATGAAAACTATACACTATTAGTGTAGCAAGTATAAATTTTTATTCTGCAATATGAAAAGAGAAAGGTAGTGCTATAACTAGCAAAACAAGATATGGTTGCTCCAAGAAAGTAGGAATGAACTAACAAAGAAACCAAAAAATAGCTTAACCTTACAACTGAGCCCAAAGGATTTCCTACATGTGTAGGAAACAGAAAGTGTTTGTGATGAAGGTCTTTTATGTGTGATAATCTATAGGATTCCTTTTCTTTTTCCTTTCTCTTTTATGGTTAAGACTCGTTATATATATTCTTGAATTTCATTATGGCTTGGTGGAGTTGTTATTACTACATGGAAGAAGAAAACTATTGCTAACAAGAGGAATGACACTATTCATAAAATTCTTCCATGTAAGAAAATTCGAGTAAGGAAGATTGATGAAGTCCTTCTTATTCTTGAAAATTGAAAAGATAAAATTATTAAAAAAAGAAAAAAGATTGTTTGTGGGAATCAATTCGTGCAAGGTATCACGGATCCTACATCATTAAGAAATGGGATGAGTCTTAGGTTTATAAATAAGGTTTTCTTTTACTTATCAATCATGTTTTTTGGATTAGAAATATGGGCCATGATAAGTAATATCAAAGCATATCTAAATCTTTATTAATGTGGGGCTCTCATGAGAGATACTAGGGTCGAGGTAGACTTGGACCAAGTTGCAGTGACGTTGCACAATTGGATGGTGCAGAATGTCATAAATCCCATATCAATGAGAGATAAGGTGAGTCTTGTGATAGAATGTAACGTATCTCACATTTGTAAGAGATGAAATAAGTCTTGGGTTTATAAATAAGAGTCTTCTTTCACCTATCAAGCATGTTTTTTTGATCGAAAATGTAGACCCGTGATATAAGGCCTGTTGATAAACAATTCTTTAAACCTTTTGAATATTGTTTAAATTGTAACATTTGTCTTGAGGTGAAGTGCAACATGCCTTTAAACTCGATCTTGAGGTGAGATGCATCATTCCTTTAAACTCGTTGAATAACTGTTTTTAGGTAAGGTGTAACATGGCTTTGAACTAATTGAATATTGTTGAAATTACACCTCATGGATTTAAACCAGTTGAATATTGTTGAAATAGCATCTTTCTTGAGGCACCTCCTAACAAAAGGCTTAATATCAATTTTGAAGTTTAGATTTGAGTATGGTGAATGTCCACTTTTGTTATCAAGTTTAACTTAATTCTCATTTGTTTCATGGTTATTGTTTTAAGGTGCAACCTACCTTTAAACAAGTTGAATATTATTGGAATCGTATCTACCTTGAGGCACCTCCAAACCGAAAGCTTCGCATTTCAAAATTATCGATTTTGAAGTTTAGATTTGAGCATGGAGAATTTTCCCTTTTTATCAAGTGCAACTTTAATTCTCAGTTGGTTCATGATTGGTTTGAATGGGTGGAGAAAGTGTTGAGGAATCATGCACATGTGAACACTCTCTTTATCACGAGAGTACCCAATGTTGTATAGTCATATTTGGACTTCGTATTCATAAAGAGAGAAGAATGAAGGTATGGCATGTTGATCTTGAAAGGTGGAGTATCTTCTCTCATATTATGGTTACAGATTGAGAGGAGTTTACTTTTACTCTAGAGAATATACATGTCTTTAAAAAGCTTCCTTATATAGGAAAACATTTGTTCCACCAAACTCTTTGAAGAAGAAGAATGCCTTCAAAAATTTTTCCTTAATATACTTAAGAGTCTAGGCAAGACTTCGAAGGTTAAACTGTTCTCCAATACAATAAGGTTATTCTATAGGTTCAACAACAAGCTTGGTGAGAGTAGCTATCCCAAGTATCCAGCCCATGAGCATGAACTAGTGGCATTATTGATCAGGTGGTTAGCTCAACATGTATTTTTTATACGTCTAGATGATGAGATTTCTTTTACAGTCATTCATTTTGCAATTAAAATCGTTAAAGGAATGAACTTTCCTCTTGCACCACTCTATTTGAGCTCTCTACACAAGAGATTAGACTTGTACAAATTCAAGATTAAGGAATTAGGTAGTCGGTATAGAATTTTGACTTATGTAGATGCCTCCTTTATTCATGTGTTTATGGGAAAGGTTCAACGCTTGTGCTCTTATACCGAATGCATATCATCCGCTTGTGTATTCTTCCATGAATAATGATTATTAAGGTGATAAATGTAGCGGGAGAATTTAATCTCAGATATTATGTGCAAATCAACAATGGGTTTAGTGATATTGCTATTTATTATGATGGACAACCATTTCAATATGGGAAAATGAATGCTCAAGGAGTTGAGGGTTCGTGGTTTTTAAGTATATTCCAATACCACAAACTGTTAAAGCAAAACAAATTTTAACCATTGCACCAACTCTCATTAGTAAATAGTGTAAAGAACAATGTTGCCAAAGAAAAAAAAAGGGTTTGCTCTTTTTCCTCACTAGCAATTAGATTTAGAACATGGAGATGGAGAACCTTCAAAGACTGCCTTGACCAATTAAAGGAGAGGGGAGAAGTTGAATTTGATGTATCTAATAAAACCAAAATGTGAAAGCCAAAAGACATTGAATGTTTTGTTCTCACCTACTAGAAGGACATGATTGCATAAGCTTGGAAAATTTTCATTGCTTATGGCACCTTTTTTACGCAATTCCATTTGGGCAGTTTCCATCATTTTTCTTTTTTCTTGTGCTGATAGTTTGCTGTTTGTTGTCTTTAATAAAAGTTCTTGATTTAGTACATCCAAAAGATAAAATAAAAAAAAACACAACTCTTGGAATAGAGGCAAAGGACATCTAGTAAACCAAATAAAATCAGTATAATAATAATACCATAAAGAAGGTCAAGTACAACATGTGGAGGAAAAGTAGTGTCATATTATTTCTTTTGTCTGGTCCAAATATTAATTTATTAAATCAATTAAGTAATAGCAAGTAGTTGTAGTGATGATCAGGTAGAAGGATTGGCAGGCGCAGCAACTAGCAAGTTGCAAATGGTAGGCCAAGTTGGATGTGTCATGATCAAAAAACAACACCACACGGGAAAAAATAGTAAGGAGCTGTAGAGAAAATAGCATTGCCCATAAAAGGAGAAAGAAATGATGTAGCTGTAAGCTCTCATTAAAAATGTCTTAACCAGGGAAACTTGAAGGTTTAAAGGGAAGAAATCTGGAAAATACCCAAAGAAGGCCCTTGAGAAAATGAGATTTTACTATACTTTTTTAAGGCAAATGTAGCAATGATGGTATTAATCTGAAATCAAAATTGTCATTTCAGAGTTTTTAAAACAATGGGGTTTCTTTCCAACCCTAATCCATAAAAAGGACTAAATAGACGGTATCTTAGTTTGGGCCTTAATATGCATCACATCAAAGCTTGATGAATTGCTCCCAAAGCTTCAATAAAATGATATAGACAAGGCAAGGGGAATGAAGGAAATAAAAGATGATGGTTTCCATCACTCTAAAAATGCAGGCCAACCAAAAGTAAGGAAGATGAACCCAATGTATCATTCCAGTCATACAATCATTACCCATTTGAATAATTAAAAGACAGTATGTACCATTCCAAAAAGAAAAAAAAAAAAA